GGATCCATATCATCAGCAACAACATTCATGGTTTGTCTCTGCAGGATCCATCACTTCCACACTTCCCTCTCATTATCTAATTCAGCAGACGTGCAGTGCATCCTTGAAGAGTTACGCTGCATTTTGAGAGACAAGGTGTCATACTGCCTGCTCGTCATTTGCATAAACTAACCTTGACGTTCCCTTGTGGTCCGATGCTTCTGGAAGCTTTTGAAAGATTTAAAACTAACTGTTATCAATCAGAAATGAAAACAGATTCAACACCTGCAGTATTTCTTACCTTAAAAGTTTCCAAACAAGCTGCCCCGTTGGCCCGGTTTGAAATTGGAGCAGGCAGCCTCTAAGTAAAGCGTTCGCCCAATCTGATGCAGCCAGTGTTGTAGGAGGGTGGCGCCTCTGTTGGAATTCTGTTCAAGAAGACCTGTCAGTTGTCTGTCGTGAGATTACGCCTAATGTTGGGAAGCAGTGTGATTCCTGGTGTGTAAAAGCACCACTGTGGACGCAACCCACCAGACAAGCTGGCGCATTCAAACCACGATTGTTAGTATTAATAAACCTGAAGTGTCGAAGGAGGTCATGGTTGTTAATGAATGTAACTGTTCATAAGTTTGTAACGACAGCACATGGGTTGTTTACACTGACTCAGAATGGTCCAACCTAAAAGCATTACCGCATGCAGGAGTGAAGTTTGTCACTACCTGCCTGATGTGATGAGCCACCTCCTCACAGTCTGGGAACATGCACTGCCTGAGACCCAAGTTCACTGCTCATCTCAGTCAAGGAGAACTGGAGGAACACTGGAATAAGCAAAACTATAACCAGAGCTTCCACTACTGTATTGCAAACCTGGTGACCTGCTGGGCCTAAACATTGGGAGGATGTTTTTTAATCAGCTACAGTTGGGTGAATTGGTTGGAAACTGATATAACAGGGGGACATCTGACCAATAAGTTAACAAACTGGACCTCTTTAAACAATTGAGCTCTACCTTAAGGTTGCCATAAGTCTATCATTGTCCAGCACTGGCCTCATGTCAAAAAAGACTCTTGGCTGCAGTAGCGTACTACTTCTGTCTGTCTGTCTGTCTGGTTTTACTTAATTGCTGTGTAACCACCTCAGCCCTGCTTTTTGATGAATCATGACACCTTGGAAGTTATAAAGAGAAACATCAAAATGGTGTTTCATTTTCGTGTTACAAAAGGGAGGCTGACAAGAAAGGTGATCAGAATGAATGCAGAGGCCAAACTTCAGCTGTGACTTTTCTACATCTAACATGAGTACAGTGTGAAATGAGAACAGCAGATCTGTCTTACTCTTCCTGATGAGAGGAAACAAACAGGAATGTTTGATAACCCCACCCAGTCTGACTCTGAATGCTGTGCTGTGTCTCCCCCTGCAGACCGGATCTGGAGCTGCAGTTCAAGTGTTACCACCATGAGGACAGACAGATGAACACTAACTGGCCTGCCTCTGTGCAGGTAAACAGCCTCTCAGTTTCTTGATTTATATATATATAAATTTGGGTTATTCCATTTAAAATAAACAAAAACTGATTTAAAATGTTCCAACTGACCAGTATTTTTTTTTAATGTACAATAACATTACTATAATTTTTAAAAAGCCATGCAAAATTTAATCTTTATACTAGGAATGTTTTTACAGTTTTACAGGCCCTTGAAGTACATGGGGGAGGGGGTCCAGATTTTGCAGTTTTAAATTAGTGTTCTTATTTCCAGCTTTTTTGAGATCTCATAATGTCATAAGTACGTACAGCTGAAAGCCATGTTAAATAGATGTAAAATTGATTTGGTTGCAATTTTTACCAGAGCTCTAGTGCGTTTTTGTCCCTAAAAATTTCATGTGTCTGTCTCCTTTACTTGAGGTTATAAGGACTTAAAAATGCTGGAAAAAGTAATGTAAATTTAAAAGGATAACATTTTGGCTAACCCCCATGTATTTCAACCTATAAATATTCAAAGTATGAAAGTACAGCTTAGCATCATTTCATTAATATACTGAAGTTACTGTACAAAAATATCCGCAGATTGTAAGGAGGTCAGGTGGGAGGTACAGACTGATTTTCTTCATGGACTGACCCATTTATTCTTATACTAAAGAGGGTTAATGTTGCTGAAAATGATACTGTCATCTGAGAGCTTTCATATAACTGCCATGTTGGAGGAAATATGAATAAATACACAAAAATATAAAGCAAGATAATAGTCCTGACAGTATTATAACTGTTATTATTATAGTTATAAAAATATTGTCTGAAATATGCAAAAGAGGAGGACAACATAAACCAACTGAACCTCTATTCAGAATGCATCACAACAGTTTGAGCTGTTGGTAAACATTTCACTGAAGCCAAATAGGTGGCAAATATGACTTGTAAAGCAACTCACAGCGCAAATCTTGACCAAAAAAAGTACTTTCCATGGTCAATCATTTAGCAAAATACTACTTATGTTGTTCAGTGAATCAACGATCTGCTGACCATTGCATCTCTTTTAATTTGAACTATTTTAGGTAGTGCAGTCTGTAACAATGCATCTCTTTAAAAGTCTTAAATGGAAAAAGGTCATCTGTAAAATAAGTACGTAGTGGGTTGAAAAGTTCAGAATCTCCCTCTGAAATATAGTAGCATGAATTTAAAATACTTTAATACAGAACAAGTACCTCAAATCTGTTGTTAAAATGTACCCATTACTTTCTACAGCTTCATAACTGTCTAGCATGCAGGGAATGTCCAGCAGTTGTAAAAAGTAATATTAACTTGATGTTACATACTGTACATATAATCCAGGAACACAACCAGATCAAAAAATTACGGCAGTTGTAACAGTCAACAGCGTTGTCTAATACAGAGAATAATGATTTACCGTAGTCAAAGTGCACAGCATATACATAGGGCAGGATATATGTTTACATCATATAAAGAAAAAGGCAGAAAATGTGTTTTAATGATGTGTGTATTCTGCCCTTGTGTTGTCTTTTCTCTGATCAGGTTAGTGTTAATGCAACTCCTTTGTCCATTGAAAGAGGCGACAACAAAACCTCCCACAAGCCCTTGTACCTAAAGCAAGTGTGTCAACCAGGACGCAACACTGTGCAGATCACCGTGACAGCATGCTGCTGTGTAAGCCGCCTCCAAATGACACTTTTCTGACTTAGTCACTGCCATAAAACACATTTATAAGCAGCATGTGTTTCAGTAAATAAAGTCGTAGTCAAACATGTCTCCCCTCATGTCTGTTTGTCCCCAGTCCCACCTGTTTGTGTTGCAGCTGGTTCACCGACCGTCTGTCAGGTCTGTCCTGCAGGGTCTCATGAAGAAGAGGCTGCTGCCAGCCGAGCACTGCATCACCAAGAGTGAGTTCACTACAGCAGAATGTGGCCTTCTGTTGTTCAGCACTCTCACTCATAGCACTTTGTTTATGTATCACTTTTGAAACACAGTTACAGAACGCTTCAAAGTGTTCCAAAGTCTAGGAGCCTTAACTGCAAACACTGACTTTCCTTTTTTCCACAATCTGGACCTTTGAATAACTAAAAATGAGGCATCTGACAATCTTGGTTAGCATGAGTGCACAGAACAAAACAAAAGGTCAGAAATAAAACTTGAGGCAACACCTCTCTGGGATTTAAAAGTAAACAAATTTGCAGCTCATGTTTCTTTATACCAGCTGAAATCCTAACAGATGAGTTTAGGATGAGCTGTAAGCCAATTTTTTAACATCTTTAAAATAGGAAAGCACAACTACCATCTTCCACTGTCTAGTTTTCACCACTAATGTGATGCTGTAAGGGTCTGTATCAAGAACTCGCCTATCTTTTTTCCTCACGGTATCTAAAGTAACAGCCACCATGGCTGCGTGATGTTCCATTGTGGCTACAGGAGATGCTGGAGTGTTTGTATCACTAGCTCTAAGAACCCTACATGAAACGGCTTTTTTCTCCACTTTCTATTTCACGTTACATTTTTTAAAATTTATTTGGATATTTGATTCAGATGTGAGCAGCAACAGGGAGCCACTATAGTGAATGGAGCAGAGGAGTGTTGTAGGGAGCCCACTCAGCTGTTGGATGCAAGTTGAGCTGGAGTGTCCTGGATCAGCTGCAGAGGTCTGATGGCAGTGAGGGAATTGTAGTATTCCAGGTTGGACATGACAAGCGCCTCCCAACATACACTGCCCTTCTCCTTTCAGAGCTGGAGCAGTTAACTAATTGTGTTACTTATTTATCAAAGAGTTTAAGAAGTCAAAATGAAGAATTTTCTGCAGTTACAGAAAAGAAAAGAAACAGAACGAAAAGCTAAATTCATCACATCGAACATCTGTTAAAAAGCAGCACGGGCACAGCTCCTTAAACCTAATTTAAACTTTGGCTTTTCTGGTTTGTTATCAATTAAGTATAAACTACTAGTTCAGTAGCTGGTCATAAATACTATGTGTTAACCAAGCACTTGTTTCTAAGCTGCTCTGCTGCCTGTAATATTCTTTTTGTATCATCACAATATACTGCAATACAGGTCTCCATCATTGACTGAGTATCTTTAATAATCATTAAAAAATAAAAATAAAAAAATCTAAATTCTGTCTGTTGTTTGATAGATTACAACACTGAGGTTGATCTACTGAAAGGTGTACTCGCTGTGTCAGTGGTCTTTCTCTTTTTAGCATAGCGTCAAACATCCCATTGTAGAATCACCAGGTCACAGAGGGGTGTAGCTGCAAACCAGTGCAGAAGGAGTGCATGCTTCAGGATTTTCTCCTGTTCAAGTGAGTTTTAGCAGAATCAGGGAATCCCACATTCAGAAGCTGCCGTCTGATCTCCTCCCTGCCAGAAATATATCTCGACTTCTGAAGTCTTTGTAATTGCACAATGGTCTTTAATGTGTCAGCAGTAGTTTGTTTGTTTTTTGGTTGCTATTGTCTAATCCTTTCTGTCCAATTAACTTTGAATCATTTAATTTGCCTGCTTTGTGTGGTGGTGACATGAAAAGTGAATCTGTTCATCTTTTCTCAACAGGAACCCTTGAAATGATTCCCCCCCCCTGTATATTAGCCTAACTATGACTGTGATTGAGTTGTTTTTGAAGATAAAATACTCTGTAATATGTCGCATTATCATCATCATCCTGTGATTAACTACATTCACATTACAGTAGTTGTGACAAAAATTTGTATTTTTAACTTATTTTTGCGCACCTTTTTGAAGTTCACATCAATGTTTTGCAAAAGCTCCATTTGTAAATGAAAAAGCAGCAGCTTAGTGTAGATGGATATGACAAATGTAATGTGTTTGGTATCATACAGTATACAGCAGTTAGGTTTCACATCAGATTTCCCTCTGGCACAATGCATTTTTATGAGTCTTTATTACTAATTTGTGCCTTTGCTGCATCAATTTATGATGGAAATGTCTTTATTTGTGCAAAAGGAAAAAATTGACCACCAGGTAACAATTCAAGATACACTGGAACATTATATAGTGAAGGCTTTCTGCATTACCTTTAAACGTTTTTTTTGTTGTTGTTGTTTTTTGTAGGTCAGCTGTTATAATTTAATATTATCTCTGCTCAGTCAACACACATGCAGGCAGGATTTACTTTTGTGTCTTGTTTCTGAAAGGAACCTCTTTGAATGTGCGTGTGGCACCTATTCACATCAATGATTAATGACTTCATTTAAATTCATTTAAAACCCCTGGACTTTTTAACTCATATATGTTGATTTGCTGAAGTCATAATTCATATTTTGGGAGTAAAAAGAATACCCAGTGCTGAGGAAAAAAGACAAACAAAAGACAAAAGACAACAAATCTAAATGAGCTGAAAACGTGTACTTTGTGTTAGTCAAATAGAACTAGTGTTAAAGGACAGATGCTGCATCTCAGACTGTCAGCTGACACTGGAGCAGCAGGCGGCCTAGCTCTTCTCAGAGTGCTGAAGTAGTTCTCATTGTTTTTTGTTTTAGTAAAGAGAAACTTCAGCAGCGGCACCATCCCCGGGACCCCAGGTCTGAATGGAGAGGACGGTGTGGAGCAGACGGCAATCAAAGTTTCTCTCAAATGCCCGATCACGTTCAGACGAATCCAGCTGCCAGCCAGAGGCCACGACTGCAGGCACATACAGGTATGAACAGTCAACACACCTGCACACCAGCATTAACTCAAATCAGCTCTCTCACGTTGTTTTTTTTTTTTATCTTGTAGTGTTTCGACCTGGAGTCATATTTGCAACTTAACTGTGAACGAGGGACCTGGAGATGTCCTGTGTGCAAGTACGTACTGGAGCAAGAATTCACTGCACCTTTTTGAGTCATATCTGCTGTAATCAGCATAAAGACTCACTGGCTGTTCGCTCCTCTCGTTCACAGTAAAACAGCTTTGCTAGAGGGGCTGGAGGTCGACCAGTACATGCTCGGGATCCTTGTCTACATCCAGAAGTAAGTGTTGACCTAATATAGTCATTAAATAGTCAATGATGGAGCCTGCGTATACAAGACTGGGGAAAAAGGGAGTGTAAATTTAGTGTAACATCCATTTCCACAGCGCTCATTCATGCTGTAGTCACCCCTCTGTTTTCAGTCGTCTCCTCTTTGCTGTATTCCTCATTGATGTTAAGCTACCATCAACAAAACAATTCCAGCTTTTTGTTGGTGTTTTGGCCTTTTGTCTCTGCCCTCCTTTTTCTTTTTTTGGTGTTATTACCTTTTCTTGACTAAATATGCAGATCAGTCTGTACAGAACCCTGTCCGACATCGGTGCCTGTGATTTGCTTGGCCAAAGGTTTTGATGACTCCTCCTCAGTCCTGCCACCTCCCCTGACTGAGTGGTGTGATAGTGTCATAGCTGCATCTTCATAAATGCTTAGCCATAAAATAATTAAGCACCAGTTTTGCATAATCTGCATCTAAAAAAAGGCTGTGTGAGTGCTGCGCCCACCTGTATTTTTTTGTTTTGACTGGTAAGTGTAGGTAAGGAACTGCAGGGTTTAATTTTGAGGTTTTGTTGTTAGTACAGAACAGGTAAGCCACTTTAGAAATTCTAGTTGAAAGTCCTCCTTCTGTTTATATGAATTTCTTTTGTTTAAGGTCAATCTCTGTTCCTGTTTTTGTGACCTGTGATGATATATGTTGTTACTCCAGAAATCTGCTACTCAATAATACTTGCAACTTTGGTACAACTGTTGCCATGAGTTGCTTATCTGCTACTTTTGTTTTTCCCCTGGTAACAGGTTTTAGTATTCAAATCTTGCAAGTATCTTAGACTCCAAGGCTTTTAATGTTTGATGATGAGAGTTTATGAGCAAGAGTTAAGGGAAAAAAGGCAAATTGAAATTCGTGTTGGTGGAATGGAAGCATAGTGAATTTATCAATGCAACAGGTAAATGTGGGGAACACATGACAATAGGCAGGGAGAGCTAATACAAGTATGTTCCAAGACCTGGTTCTTTCTGACACTAAGGCAAGTAAAACCTCCACAACCTGTACAAATGTCTATCTCCATTTTATATCCAGTATTTTTTTACAAGATTATTTTCTTTGGTAGTCACTGTAGAAACAGGTGGGAAACATGGGGAAAGAGAGCAGAAGAATGATGTGCAGGAAATGTTATTTAGTTAGGAACCGAACCAGGGACTCGGCTTGCAGCGAGTTAATTTAAAAACCCATCTTGTGTCCCTTCTCTCCTTCCTCAGCTCTGACTATGAGGAGATCACCATAGACCCGGTGTGTGGCTGGAGGCCGGTGCCTGTTAAACCTGACCTCCACATAAAGGAGGAGCCCGACGGTCCGGTCCTCAAACGCTGCCGCACCGTCAGTCCGAGTCACATGGTCCTGCCAAATGTGATGGAGATGATTGCCGCTCTGGGCCCGGCGTCGTCCCCCTACCAGAGTCTGACTGCAGGAGGCAGAAACACCCCAGACTACAGCCGACCAGGTAGGATGGAGAAGTTGTGAATGATTTATTGTGCTAAAGCTGTGGGTGATTTATAATTAGCAGCTTCTCTGTTCAAAAAAATTAATTTACATGGTCTTATTTAGTCCAGGCTTTTGACTGTTACTGTAATCATGATTAGGATTTTGGTTTCCAGCAAATAAACGGGCTTGACTTGACGTTTAAACTGCTTTACTCACAAAAAACAGCCCATGTAGATAAAATCACTGTCTAAATTTGGGTAAATCGGTCTCTTATTTCACTGTTTTCTAACATTTTTTTTGGTCATACACCTATTGGAACTGCAGTAAGTAAGTAGAGAGTAGAGGTTTCTCTGTTTACAGCTGGCCTGCATGTGGGACGTTGAGGGAACATTGGTATATTGTACTATCTATCAGTATACAGAAAGATATTTCACCATGCTGAATGTATCCTCCAGCTGCTTTTGTGTGTCCTCCAAGAACTTGCTCCTCTGTATACTCTTTTGACTTTAAAGATCCACTGTGTTTTATTTTCCTCTCTCTGCGATGTGGGAATACAACATGCAGTTCACCTAAAACTCAATGTTTTGTTTTTTTTTGTCTTTTTTTTTTACTATTGGTGACAGCTGAGTCATTCATCGAGAATCAGTTGTGCTGAGGAGCACAGATCTTGTCAGTTACAAGATCGGGTGCAACAGGGATTTTTAAACAAGACGTAGAATAAAGGGATTTTTAATGAAATATGATTTTAAGGCTTAGATTTGTTTTTTTTCTAATGTAACCACGTGTCACACATGACACTTTCAGACCATTAGAAAGCTAAAAATATGATGATTCTTGGTGATAGCTTTTTTTATTATTATTATCGTTGTTTCAAAGAATACATGCCTTTGAAGCCTGCTAGTAGGTTTTGAGTTTTACAGGGTTAAGACTTGTTTTGCCTCAGATTTGTACACTAGCAGGAATGTAGCACAACATGAGAGTGATAGAAAATGTTTTTCATTTATATAAATGAATAATCATGTTCTCAATGTAGAAAGTAAAACATCATGATTATTGTTTTGCAGATAAATATGCAGCCCCAGCACTCTAATGTGTTATCTATATGTACACATCACTCTTTGTAGCTCACTACGTCAGATCATCTTAGATGCGACGTGACCCAGATGATATTTCAAGCAGCACCACAAAGACGCTGTGTCTTTGGAAGCTAAGCTGTCTTCTCTCTCTGCTGCTCTGCTTACTGTTGTGTAACAGAAAGCAACCGTCAGCCTGCTTTTATTTGCTTTGTTGTGTTGTTGCAGGGAGTCAAGGATTCTCCAGCCAACCAGGATTCACAGACTTCCCCAACACTCCCGGAACCCCGACACTCGGAGAGTACACTTCATCCGGACCACCACCTCCACTCCCGTATCAGCCCGACCAGGTTAGGCACCTTCAAACCGTCCACCACCACCACCACCATCTGTTACATAACACAAGCACGAGCAAACACACACAGACACATTCCTCCTTCTTCCTTGACATAATGCAGCCTCTGGCCACACTGATGATTCAGGATGTTTTCCTTAATGGTTGAGTAGACCTCAATGACAGGCAGAGTATAAATACACCACAGCCAGAAGGCACTGCACTGTGAGCCTGCTTCACATACAGATCCAGCATTGAAAGTGTCTGTTATCTAACTCACACTGAGGCAACAAATTGTCTGAATGAGTGGGAAACACTCACCATGAGCACATACACTCTAGTTTTTCTTATCGTGCTCCCACAAATACTCACTACAGCACCAAATGTGAATAAAGCCACTACTGAAAATAGCCTCGAAATAAATGCACTGTTTGCTCCTGATTGTTTGATAAAAACTGCAATAACTGGAGCCATTTTAAAAAATGAAATGATATATTTGTTAACTGGTTAACCTTTAATTAACATGCTAATGTCACTACATTAATCTAGTGATCATTTTTTTCATTAACTGATGAAGAATTTATTCTAGTAAAGGGGTCAGTTCATATAAAATCAACCATATCTCAAAAAACGTTCCCACCTGACCCCTCCAGAATCAGCAGATTTTTTTTATGTACAATAACTTAAGTCCTCAAACCAACTCATCAGTTATCACCATTTTCCTTAAAAAATGACTCATTGGTTCATACATCTTTAATGTCTGAAAAATGATACGAACACAGCAGATGACATTTAGGAATTTCATGATTATTTGTTTTACAAAAATAGACCTAATAATTATAATTAACCTGGAATCCACATGTACAGAATTTTTATAGGTGGTGAAAAGTGTTACCAATACTAAAAAAAAAGTGGCTT